TCTCTCTCATACACACACGGCATTTTACTGGCTTTAAGTCCTTCACTGCAGTCCAGGTTCATAGCTGCTAATGGTGAAGCTACCCATGGGCCCTGTATGGGCTGCGTCGTCTGAGCCTCTGGACAATTTCAGATGATCCAGAGCCTGACTCAACAGGAGGAAAATCTATTCAGAAACTCAGACTCCAGCAGTAAGCAAGCTTTGATGCTATATCAAAAGAAAAAGGAACATAGCTGACTTCACTAAAGCTACTTTATCTCCATCTAGCAAAGGAGGCACCGGTGCACTATACTCAACCAAAGGCGGTGGGTGTGGTTTGGGGCAATCCCTTCATCGTTTGATGTGGAGCGGACCACTTTATAAGGTATAATTTGGTACTGCACAGATAATTCCCAATCAAGGAAAATCTGGAAAAGCTTTGGTCCCACAGCCTTGCCTCAGAACATGTAAATAATTAAAACAATATTGATGCGGATGTTTTTCTATTAGTAACATGAGCATGACAAATTTTTAGTGGCGTGAGTGGGAGGATATGATATGTCTGTGGGTATTTTTTTGGGGGAGGTTGGGGAGAAGTTCAAACATAGCAGCTACATAAAACAAACCTGAGGTTAAATACTGGGTAATAAATTACAGCATGTGCCAGGAGAAACATAAAGGAGGAGAAAATGAATTATCATGAAAGTTAAAATATTTTTAAAAATCTCAAAATCTGAGTATACATTGTTATACTTTCAATTTTAATAAAGCAACAATATTAAACTTCTCAAATGAGCATAAACTACTTTCATACACGCTGTTTCATTTAATCAATTCATAGGTACTCTGTCATCTCCCTGAGGAGCCCTGGTGGTGCAGTGATTGAGCAATCAACTGCTAACTGAAAGGCTGGCAGTTCGAAACCATCAGCGGCAACACGGGAGAAAGACGTGGCAGTCTGCTACCATAAAGATTTACAGTATTGTAAACCCTGTAGGGTCACTATGAGATGGAATCAACTTGACAGCAGTGGGTTTTGGTTGTTCTGTCATCTCCCTAGTTGCTGGTCTTAGCTCTTCTGGAAGAAAAGGTGCCTGATCTTGCTAATGACTTTGTCTTTATTTGCTCTAAACAGGCCCTCTCTTTTCTTCCTTGAGGGACTGCTTCTTCTCATTGTTGCTGTAAAAGTTATCTCCCAAACCAAACCAAACCCAATGCCACTGAGTCAATTCCGACTCATAGCAACTCTATAGGACAGAGTAGAACTGCCCCATAGGGTTTCCAATCTTTATGGAACAAGAAGACTGCCACATCTTTGTCCTACAGAGCGGCTGGTGGGTTCAAACTGCCAACCTTTTGGTTGGCAGCTGAGTGCTTTAACCACTGTGCCACCAGGACTCCTAAATATCTCCCAATTTATGTTAATGGTGGAGCAATAATTTAGAAAAGAATAGGGTGAATGGTTACAGAACTTAAAGAATGTAATCAATGTCACTGATTTATACATGTAGTAATTGTTGCATAGGTGTATGTTTTGTTGCAAATACTTCACCACAATAAAAAAAGAAATTAAAATAATAAATAAAGATGTGGCTTACCAGGGCCTTAGGGGGTGGGCCTGCAGAGTGGGTGGTTGAAGCTGGCGTTTGGGAAACCACTTCAGAAATCACAGCAGAAAGTTTGGCATCTTCGAATTTCTTTTGAAAAAATTAAGTTTATTTTTATCAGTAATATGTTGTATATAAAATTATGTTTACAATGTCATCACTTAAGTACAACTCTTAAGACAGCTTCATGGCTGTTTATTCTCTTGATCCAAATAGAGACTCATAATATTAAAAGCAATTTTATTCTACTTTCTTTTACAGAATATTATTTAACACCAGTTTCTATTTCTACTTCATATTTCTATTTATTATTCTAAATGATGTTCAATAATCTAATAATGTAGAGTTCCATGGTTCGTTTACATATTCACTGCTATACACTTAGGTTGTTTGCAGTCTTTCAGCTTTCTTCTTTGTAACTAATTGCTCTGAATTATTTCTAGAAGAGGGTCTTTTAATGGTGCTGGCTATATTCTGCCAGACTGTTCTCTCAAAGGTTTGCAGGAGTTATATTGCCAAAAGCAATGAATGAGCACACCTGTTTCCCTCTGGCCTTGCTTGCCAGCATTTGATTTTTATCACATATTTTTATTTTGATAATACAATAGGTGTAAAATGATATACTACTGTTGTTTAAACTCTGTAGTCTATGGTGTGAGGTTACAGTTTTATTACTTTTTCTCAGTGTTGAATAATGAATTTAAATACACCGTCTATATGGACATAATTATTTGCTTTTATTTTATATACTGCTGTGTTATGTTGCTGTTGTTAGGTGCCA